GCAGAGGGCTACTTTCCTTGGAAGATGTGAATCCACGTTCTGTTCCCATGGTCTTTTTTTATGTTCAGAAATACCCAGCCCAACTCAGAGCTTTTCCAGGGAAGTAAAGTAAGGAGAATGAAGGTATTTTCCTTTTTGAATAATGAATCTCCTTCTGAAAGTTGTTCTGAAGTCCTTAGATTTGTAGAAGTAGTACCATCAGCTCTTCTTTGAAATAAAAAAAAAACAAAACTGTGAGAGGGGAAATGGAGCAGAATTGTTGGACTTAGTTTTTGATATTGCAGTAGTACTCAAATGAGTAAACCTCAGAAAAATCACCTATAACAACAGAGAGTAATGATGATGATGTACAGAGCACTGGGAACTGAGATGACCTGCATCAGAGCTGAAACATCTTTGGCCCATCTGTGTTTTGAAACCATGCACCAGAGGGTAGCAGATGTCCTTCTACAAAGGGAAATGTGCCACTCCAAATAATGTATATGAGGCATTGCTGTCACATGCAAAACTATCATACTTATGCAGGTCGCTATGCACAGGGGCCAACAGATATAGACACGCAATTTACCATAATTAAATCTTATTCAACTTCAATAAAATTGGATAACAGCAGCTACAAGCACAAAGTGTAAAGGACTGCTGGCTCCAAGTGAAAGAATCCTTCAGCTACAAGAAACTGTAGGTACTACTATGCAAACTTCATAGACAATGACTGGGATGATTATGTTATATATGAAATGTAGATAGATATATATAGATATATAGAGAGAGATATATAGATATACAGATATGCACATATATAATAACATATATATATGTTATTATGTAATATCTTTCTTAGGACATACCAAGAAACAGCATCTGATGCAAGCAATAAACATACAAAATTAGTTCAAAATTAATACTCTTTGCAGAGACTCTAAAATCATCACAATCTAAATTTAGTTTCGGTAAAATATGTTCACTATGGAGATCCAGGAAAAAGCTCTCCAACTAGTTCTGACACTAAACAGAAATAAAAATTAAAAAAAAAACCAACAGAAAATAACAAGAGCACTGACCTGTAGCTGTCTTGCTGCACTTCCTTCTCATCAATCTCTGGTAGCTCAGTCATTTTGCTTCATTGAAATTGTTTGTGGGATTGCCATGTAATGAAATAAAACTTTTCAGTCTGTTTTTCAAGTGGAAAAGGACTGCTGCTGGAAAGAAAAATAAAAAAGAAAACTTAAACAAGGAAGGAAAACACCACAAAAGATAGCAATCCTCTCCATAATTTTTATAACTTCACGCAGAACCTCCTGACAGTATTCCAATTTCCTATTTTCAATATACAAAGAAATACCTTGACTTTAACATAAACTTAGTCACTGTTTACACTTGACATCTCAACTAGACAGAAAAAAAATTTCTTCTTGGCTTACTGTTATTTCACAGATGTTGAATTCATATGAATTAATATCTAGTGACAAATGTTGAACCTTTTGAATTGAAAAATTCAGCACAGTCATAATTGTGATAAAGGTCACAATATTAATGGTCCTAATATTGTCTGTCACTTTGACACATCCAAAAACATCAATACATCTTGAAGTACATTTTAGAATTCTTTTTTTCTATCTTACCCAATACACACAAAATTGTCTGTTCTAAATTCACAAATAATTTCTATAAAAATAGAGGTTTCAGTGGATATCTTTTTTCAGCAAGACCTAGCTCTACAAACGGATTGATTCATTCCGCACAAGAATTTAATGTAAAATAAACTTCCAAAAAGCCAACAGCAAAAGGTAGTACAATAAACTGCTTCTCCCCAAGAATACACAAAACACAAAAAACCGGTATTTACTATTTTGATTTGCTTGTGCACAGCTGCTCCTTTCATCACCCAGCATAAATATTGGCTGTTCAACACATACCAATACTCTACCTTCCTCCTTCAATTTTTCTCCTGATGTTGAAACATCTGAGAGGTTAATTTTGGCATGTTTTGGTCCTTTGAAATGCACCTCATGTAATCCCCGTCCCTTTCCATATAGTCACTAAATTTCCCAATTTTCTGCTTTTTTTTTCTATAATTACATTTCCTTTGACGGTATCTCCATTCCAGAGTGTTTGTAAGCCCTTCTCTCCTCTTTCCAAGATTTCAAGGGGGATCAAATGGGCAAGTTTTGGTCCATGTCGCTGCCATCCAAGGCATCCCATAGCATACAATAGCTGTCACCTTGGGGAAGATTTTTTTATTCTCTTTAAGTATCCATGCCATGTCCCCAGTATCTAGCCTTCAAAGTTGTGTCTTCCTCCGTGATTTTTTTTCCCCATGCTTTTGCAGCATCTGTGAGGTTGGTTTTGACAAATTTTCGTCCTTTGCACTGCACTTCATTTCCTCCAAGATCATTTTCTTTCACTTCTTTCACAAAGGGAATCAAAATTTTGTGAAACTAAAAAGACGTACAAAAACTCGGGAAAAGAAATAGGATGAAATTAAATGTGATTGAAAAAAAAAAACAAAAAGAACTGGAAATTGAGAGATTTTATGACTACAAGAAAAGGGTCAGGTAGGAAATGAGGTGCAGTGCAAAATACCAAAACATGCCAAAACTAAACTCACAGATGTTGCAAAAGCAGGGGAAAAAATCAAGGAGAAAGACACAACATGGAGGGGAAGATATCAGGGACATGGCATGGATATTAAAAAAATTTTAAAATTGCCTAAAGTCAAAAGCCATGAAAAGGCCTGTATGCCATCAAGTGTAGGGATATGAACCAAAGATTGCTAAAACTGATTCCCTTTGAAGTCTGAAACAACCACTCTGGAGATATGATCAAATGAAATGCAATTGAAAAAAACACCTAAATCCCAAAAATCAGGACCCTTTGTAACTACAAGAAAATGGACCGGGATTACATCTAGTGCAGTGCAAAGGACCAAAAGAGGCCAAAACTAACCTCACAGATGTTGCAAAAGCAGGGGAAAAAAATCAAGGAGGAAGACACAACTTGGAGGGGAATATATCAGGGACATGCAATGGATACTTAAAATTAAAAAAAACCCTTATATTTTGCCAAAGTGATAGCCATCAAAAGGTATGCCATGCCATCAACTGCAGGGACAGGGGCAACAGCTTTTGATCCCCATTTAAATCGCAAGATTTTGTTTCCCTTCCCAGGGAAGGGAAGATGTTATTTTCTAACTAACATCTAGGAGATGTTATTTTCTAACTAACCTCAGAGATTTTGCAAAAGTGGATGGAGCCGTGCTCTCCTGAAGATATCTGCATATCTTCCTGCTAATGGGAAGTACTTAATGAAGTCTTTGTTTTGCTATGCTTGTGTGCATGGCTTTTACCTTACCTATTGAACTGTCTTTATTTCAACCCATGAGTTTTCCGACTTCAATGCTTCCGATTCTCTTTCTCATCCCACTTGGTGTTGCTGGGGAGTGAGTGAGCAGGTGTGTGGGGCAGAGGTGCTAGCAGGGGTTAAGCAATTATACATATTAAATGCAAAAGCACATTTTAAAAAACAAAACGGATCTTTAAGTGAAAGAATCATTTTCTTTCTGACCTCCACATTTATTTAACAGCATCGAGGCAATGACATACAGCAAATACACTCTAACTGACATTAAGGTAGATTTAAAACAGCACAGGTGGAATATCTGCAGCAGATCCACGATCTTGGCTCCAGTGTTGTTTCAGTCTTAGCAGGAGCTTGATCCTTGTAGACAAAAGATGTTCATGACCAGTTACATCTCGGCCCGTTGGTGCTGGTATTGCCCTGTTTATACCAACTCCTGTTTACTGCCAAACTTCACCTTTGGCTGTTGCTAGGTTTCTCCCAGACTTGTTTCCCGTCTGAGCCGGCACTGGAGCCCTCTGAGGGTGGCGCTGCCACTGTCGCTGTGCCCAGCCCGTGCAGGTGACGCTCAGCGGGCGGGCAGCGCCCCTGTGTCTGTGCCCAGCCCGTGCAGGTGACGCTCAGCGGGCGGGCAGCGCCCCTGTGTCTGTGCCGCAGCCCCGCCGCTCTCTCCCCGCAGGCCCAGGGCTCAGGGAACGGGAGCTGCCGCCGCCCTCCCGTGCGAAGGGAGCGGGTGCCCCCGAGCGGCTCCTCAGCCCGGAGCTCGCAGCAGTGATGGACCAGCGCAACACACTGGCAGAGGAACGGCTTTTTAAGTGACAGTTTTTACAGCATTCTTCTAATTAGGAGTATGAATATTATTTTGAGTCGGGATTTTTTCACAATAGCCACCGAGTCACAACAGTATCCAATTGCTCATTCAGTTTTTGCTTATGCTTGTGCATCACTTTATAAATGATTCTAAAATATGGGGAAAATTAAACATTCTCACTTCAAAGCCTCTTTCTTGATCCTCTCTATCAATCAAATTTATTTTTGCAGTTATGTACAGACCTGGTTGATGTTACAGTTCCAGATACAAGAATTAAAAATGCTTCATGTTACAGTGGCAAAGTACTGAACTATACTTAATTTAAAAAGGCCCCAAAGATCCACATAAAAAAACCAAAAAACAGTAATATGGGCAAAGATAGAAAACAGTAGTAGTTCAAAATTAGAATAGTGACTCAAAGTAAATGTGAAAAGAATTGCTGATGAAAGATACAACTGCCTTTTTCTTAAAGAATTCAACCTCTTATTAACTGCTGAGTAAATATTTGCATCCCATGTCAGAGACTTCAAACAACTCATTCCCTATAAAAGAAGTACAAAAGGAATTTCACCAACAGTTTTATATAGTTTTAACTTTGTCCTGCTTACTCTCGGAAAAATCAGAAAAGCTATGCTCAGCAGTATGTCATATCCCATTTTCCACACTTTTTTTTACACCTTTCTGCATTTCTGCTCAACATACTTGTTAACTGTGCTTCTTTTCTGAAAATCTCTGCAAGGTTCCACAATTGTATAAAGTTACGGATTATTAAAAACTGGAACAGGTGACACCACATTGCAGTCTACCAAGATAGAGAACCACCTTAGAACCATGAGTTCACAAATTTTTTTATTAAAATAACACCAACTTTAAGAAATTGATGCAATGCAAAGAAAAATTAATAGTTTTTAATCCTTATGAAGTATGTAAACTGTATTCCAATCCTGACATGACTGGTGTAATACAGGAAACTGTATCCCAGATGAATGTCAAAGTTAAAGACTGGCATGCTGAGCAAGGAAGGTTCTTATTCTTTGCAAGAGTTCCTTCTTTACACTGTCTGGTACCAAAGCTGAAACACAAAGAATAAGAAAGCAAGAAGTAAAAAATAAACAAAATAAAAAATATGCTAAAACCACACTTTTACAATTGCCATTTCTATTCTTTTATTGTTCTTGCAATTCTGTTAATACCTAAAGTAACTGAAACAACTTGATTTTCACATAGCACATGTATATTTTTCCCATTTAAAATAGGCTAAAATTAGGATCTATTGAGAACAATTTTACTGGTCAGGGTTTGTTTTTTGGTTTTTTTTGCCTATTCATAGTCCAGAAAACTGGCAAGTTTGAGGAAAATGATTATTTAACAGGAAACAGGATATAATCACCAGAATAAGTGTGATTATCCTACCTTTTTTCTTCACAAATTTAAGACCAAAAAAAAAAAAATCTCAAATCTGATCTCTAGTAAGGGTCTCAAGCAAGCTATTTTGAATGCCTATTTTTATTTAGAACTTAATGAAGTTTCTACCACTAACATCAAATCCTGCTAGAGAGCCTGAGAGGATCAATATAAAGAGGACTGCAGTTTTCTTTAAGTGATTTAATTATTTTGTATTTGTATGCTATGTCCTTTACTCTTCCCATTCCACTAGAACTGTTAGTTCTGATTTTCCATCTTAAAAGATTTGGAATTTTAAAACATCTGTGTTGCATACAGAACTTGGGACCATTAAGTCAATTATAAAAATGAATATAGACAAGACTAAATAATCTGCAAAAGTAATCTGAAGGCTGCTACACAATAAAAATTCCCATGTTTCATTGGTTGTTAATATTAAGCTACTAACATTTTATTTGTAGGTAATATCAAGCTATTAACATTTTTTCCTTGAATCCAACACAGACAAGCTCATGATGCTGCTTTCAAAATACTGATGAAATAGAGGTAGGTATGTTTGTTGATGTGCTACTCCATCCACATTTGCATTTTCTTACCTCTGCCTTTGGGAGTGATTTCTGCCACCAAATCATCAACAGTAACATGTTCTAATCCTTTTTCTTTAATGACATCTGGGGAAGACCAAGACCAATACTTTAAGTCTTTTAATCCATTCATAAAATGACAAAACCTGTTGTCATGGTTTGACCCTGGTGCAATGCCAGTGCCCCCATGAAAATACATTCTCCCTGGTGTCTACTGTGAGATGTGACCAGGAATAGAGCAAAGCAGGTTCCAGCTTAGGAATAGAAGGAAAAAAAAACTTTATTAACTTAACAATATATAAAAGAAACACACAGAACTCAGAATGAAAACCTTCCATTAACATTCCTCCTCCCCCCACCAAATTCCAATACATCCACCCCTCAGATCACCAACTCTCAGTCCATCACCACCCTTTAGATAACCAATTCTCAGTTCATCAAGGAGTGAGGAGTCCCTCTTGTGCCATAGGCTTCCCCTGGAAACACAGCTGAGACCTCTTGTGTTTCCATGTCACACGTGGCACCGCCCGGAGATCATGTGCCATCGTGACATCTTCCTTCCATGCCCAATGCTCTCACCACTGCGCGTGGATCAGAGCCGCTTCTAGGGTTTTCCTTTTAAGGGTGCCTTGTCCAGTTCCAAAAAGAGCACAGTCTCTCACTTTCGGGACACCTGTCCCCCCCAAATTTCACCCCCTGAGGCCGAGGGGTCTCAAGAACAGAGATCTTCTCCTCCACTGAAGATCGAGGGCACCAACCACCCTCCTCTCACCCCTTGTCTCTGTTCGTGCACTCCCATAGCATCACTGCACTCTCTTGGCTCCAAGCCATTGCCTCCCCCCTAAATGCAGTCTCTGTGTCACAGGAAAAATGGTTCTGGCCATGGCTATACAAGAAAAGTCCAGCCAAAGGCCACTCCATCACCTCCTCCCACCCAAGATTCTTCTCCACTTCTCTTGTGGCCCATTTCCTCTTATCTCATCTTTATCTCTCTTCTCATTCAACTCCAAGAGGATCAGCATTTGTAAGGTTTCCATCATCCAAGAAAAGGGTTAAAAATCTCAGTCTCTGCTTATCCAGAATTCCCATGCTGCCCTGCCAGCTGGCCGCTATCAAATTTCAAGGTGGCACAAGGTGGCACAAGCACAGACACCGTCTCTCTCTCTCTGTCTCCTGGGGGGGATGGCTGCCCGATGACTCTCCAATGTTCCTCCACCCTTCCATCCTCAGGGGCCTTCATCTCCCCTCTCTGTCGGAGGCCCTACCTCACCCGGCCGCATGGCTTCCCCTCTCCTGTCCAGCCACAGCTGGGCAGGGGAGCTCTGGCCTCTTTCACCACTGGAACCCAAGAGAAAGCTTTCCTGGGAGTTCTCTGCTTTTAACCCCTGTGTTCTCAGAGGCATATCCATGTCCCCAGTGGCCACACCAGGTGCCAATATTCAAATCTGAGCACCTACTGGTTTGACCACAGCATCCCAAAAAACTCACTTCCTCTCAAACCAGGACACCTGTGCTGGTGATTAAGAGACAAAACCTGCCTACATGGTCATGGGAGAATATGAAGAATATGAGACCTAAATATAGGTTATTAGCTCAGTACCTACTGCACTGTACAGCATTTTACAGTGGATTTTAGTCTCTCATGCCATAGATTTAAGGATGGGAACCTGTCACTGCTGACGCATCTTGATCAGCTCATATTTTAAAAACAAACATGAAATTGTTTTATCTCATCTGAGCATTACCAGATATGCCTGTTACTAGTGTTGGAGCAGTTCACAAGTTGGCTCACTTATCTCTTAAAACATATTATTTACACAGTAGTAAGAAAGGTGCAACTGGAAAAACACTTTGGAACATACGGTAAGTAAGAGCACAGACAGTAAATCCTTACTATTCTTCCAACTGGTTTAAAGAAGATTTCAGTACATATTTCAGCCAAGCCAAAAAGTATGTCAGAGAAAAAGGAATAAATCTATAGGAAAATAAAGGCTATTATTAATACACATCAGTATCTTTCATCAGTATGAAATAACTGTTTACTTATGGTGCCTTGCACATTACTGAAAAATGCAGAAATCAAGGCTGAGAAGTAATCTTAGTTCAGTAGCATGTTTAAACATAAATGTCAAGTTGCCAGGGATACATTCTTCTTGCCCAGGCCTTGTTTAAACTGTCAGTAAAGCCTTCATCTGGGACTTTTATGTATCCAGAATCTCAGCTGACTACAAAGGAAATTAATTAATTGACCACTGTTACCTTTGCAATGTGCCTTCAACTGATCCTTCCAGCCACATTCAATTAACTTGGCTCTCAGCAACTCTTTAAGGCTGTTAAAACAATATAAAACTTGTTAGAACAGCAAACATTCCTGACAGCTGAAATATGCTCCAGTATGAAAGTCAGGCCTACAATTACTACCCAAGAGGTCCCAGAGCAGCAGCAGAAATGGCTGAACAGCAGGTGAATCCAAAATTAACTCACAGAATTGCTTCAGGCAATGTTGATGCTGCAGCCACAGAGAAAAAAATAGAAGCCCTTAAATTACTCTACCTGACTCAGTCTACTGTGGTAGCAGATATATGCAGACTTTCAAAGTTGGAGTATTTCAGCTGAAAAATAGTCTTGAAAATAAGTAAAACCTTCTCCCTCACCTTTCAGGAAGAATTCTGCTCTACTCAACTGCAGGTTTATCTCCCCAGTTACACATAATCTTGTTCTGGGTGAAAATGAAGGATCCTATATCTTAAGCTTCCTAAGCATGGTTAGCTATGTAAGCTTAAGCAACAAGAATTCAGGCGTTACTGGAAAAGACACAACAATCTGCCACTACTCTGTATAGCAAAACAGAATATTGAAAGTTACGTAAAAAAGTGAAAATTAGTAGTGAAAAAACAGAAGAAGGGAAAATGAAAGTAAGATATGGTAAAGAACTTTAATATCTTTTACCCTTTTCTCCATTAGCTAGGAAGCCTGTTTATCTTGTACAATCCTAAGTAACTCTAGCAAAACCCTGTGTTTATGAATGAAAGGATTGTAGCAAGGGGCTGAACAGTGTAGGTCTAATCCCTTTTACTCAGTGAATTGTGTAGAGGGCAGATGAACTGATGACAAAAAGCAGAGTAAGAACACAGGTGAAATTGGCTGCCTCTGGATACTTCTCAGTTCAAGAAATCTAAGTTCTCTGCCTCTGATCATAGTACAGCTCTGATAAAGCCTTTTTATAAGACAGCTTTTGACATCCTGATAAAACCCTTCCTATTCTTAAATTAGCATAAAATAGATCTCAATACCATTTCAATAAATTGCTTGCTTTCCTCAAGCTCTGTGCAATCTTCAAGGGGATGGTCACAACCAGGAAAGATGTAGAGTAGAGATACCATGTCAGGCTACAAAAGGTTACACCAGGCACAAGGCTATGCCATGACCCAGGAAAAAATTTCTTCTCATACAGGTCTTTAAAAATGAAGGAAATAGAGCTTTTGGTGCATGGTGTTGCAAGCAAAGTGAAACGATGAGGAGGTAAATGTCATAAGCTCTCTAGTGATATGTAAATATAACATCAATAAAATAGACTGAAGAGACAACAATAGGCCAAAAAAAATTGTGCAATTTACTTGTTTGCCTTGATCGGGATCTCTACAATGACTTGCACAAGCACTCCTTTATGTATTGTACAATATATTGCTTTACTTAATAAGAGAAGAGCTAGAAACATAAGAAAAACTTAAAAGCAAAAAGGAAAGTTTTGTTTCCTTCTCCTTATCAGGAAATAACAAGATTTAGCTACAGCAAGTTGAATGGAAGGATGATTCTTACATGAATCTAGGGCATTCCAACGCAAAATACCTGCCTAAGAGAAAGCTTTAGAGTTCATAAACCAATTACCCACCCTTTATCTCCCCACTATCTCTTTTCAAGTGGAAAACTAAAATAAAACTGTTCAAAAGGCATTTTTTAAAATAGCTTATATAACACTCAAGACTTTCATGTGCAAGCATTTAAAGAATTTAGAATTGAGTTTACTTTATGGAGTCTAGGTATAGTGCAGTCTTGTTGTATTTAAAGCCTCTCACCGGCAGGGAGAAGGAATTCAACTTACCGCTCTCGCTCTCCCGTTTCGATTAGCTTTTGGTTAATGGTTGCTCTCATCTGCGCATCTTTATTCATTTTGGAAATCTATGTTTTCCACAAACCTACACAGAGCAAAGCAGAGTTTCGACAAATGCTGGTGTCATTCACTCAACAAAATAAAAAAGTGACCAAAACAGAATGACATGCAGTGTTCCGTCCACTGACACACCCCCGCGGTTAATGACCGGAGCACCAGTGTGTGACCGGCTCAGGGGCGAGCTGGGCACGGCACCCACCCGGCTGCCCGAGCGCCGGGCACGGCAGCTCATCGGGCCGCCTGCGCGGGCACGGCCCACCTTGTCCGGGCGCGGCCTCTCCGCAGCCCGGCCCTCCCACCCGGCGCCCCCGGCGCTCGGCCCGCCCAGCGGCGCCCCGGAGCGAGGGAGCAGCGCGGGGAAGGCCCGGCCCGGTTCGCTCCCGGTTCGCTCCCGGCTCACCGCCCGCCGCAGCCCCGCCGGTCCGTGCAGCAGAGGCGGAGCCGCCTACAGGACGCACCATGCGCCGCCAGCCCCACCGCTCCTGGGCGCGGGTTCCGCCGGGAAATGTAGTACAGGCTCGGCGACTACAGCTCCCGGCGCGCCCCGGGCGCACGGCTGCCTCCTGGCCCGGACTACGACTCCCAGCATGCACTCCGCCGCCTGGCGCCCGCGCACTCTCTTCCCGTGGTGCTCCGCGGCCGCTGCCGCGCGTTCCCCGCGGGCCCGCGGAGTTGCCGGCGCTTCCCGAAGTTTTCCCGGAGCTGCGGGATGGCGGGCGCCGCCCACTGCTCCCTGCAGGCCAAGCGCCTGCTGCTGGACCCCAAGTTCGAGGGATACAAGCTGTCGCTGGAGCCGCTGGCCTGCTACCAGCTGGGGCTGGACGCGGGTGAGGAGCGGGCGCGGGGTTGATCCCGCCGGGCATCCTTCGGGCAGCGCGGGGGGACGGATCCCGCCGCCTTTCCCTTCGTCCCCTCGCGGTGCTCCGGGGCCCTCGGTGCAGGGTGCCCCGAGCTGGGGACAGCCCGGCCCGCAGCAGCGGGAGTCCCGCGCCTCTCGGACGGCGGGGGTTTCAGAGATCGAGCGCTTCGTCTCGGCTTTTCCCGGAATAAGTGCTGCAGTTGGCCAGGGGCGTCCGGCGTCCTCCCCGCCCGGTGGCTTCGTGGTGGACTGAGGTGTCTGACTTGTCAGACCTCTGCCTTAGCCTGCTCCTGGTGCGCTTAGTTCCTAAATGAGTAAGGAAACTGTGTCCTAAATCCGCTCTTGCTTGTGCGGGCAAGGTGAGGCCAAATGCCCAGCTGAGGTGGTTCCCAGCGGAGTGTGAACGGAGCACATGCGGTTTAAAGAAACACGCATGAAATTAACGTCTTGTACAAACTTCAGCAAATTAGCTGGTTTTCTTTCTTACTCTGCCCAGAGTTGAGAGGTGAATCTTCATGTCATGCATTCCACGCCCTGCTTTCTCTGCCAAGCATCGTTAGTGTTTGAGATGCTGGTCCATTAACACGCTAATTCACTGAGGAGTACATTAGCACAAAGTCCTGTTGGATTTGTGCCTACAATCTTAGCCATGCCCTGAAATATCTCAGCACTCTACGTTTACTGATTTGAGAAATTCAGGTCTTTTTGTAAGGTGGGTGAATTAGTTTGGCTTTCTTTGTAAAGCTGAGACAGTAAACACAATTTGTGCGGATTAATCTCAGTCTCTATATACTTACTGAACAATATATCTGTCTACAGAGTGACACATTACATGCTACTTTAGTTTTGTGTAGAACATACTCTATTCGTGGTAGATCAGAACGTTGTGTTTGCCATGCTGAGATGTCAGCAGCAGGAAGGAAGTTTTTAGATAATTTTTGTATTGAAGGCTAAGTGAATGAGATTGTGAGTGTATCTGTGGTAGGACTGCAAAATTTAATAAGTAACATTTTTACTGTAAGACTGCTTCAGGTGTCACCTTTCAAAAGACAGCCCAAATGCAGGTGAGTGGGTGCATGTTATGAATGTGCTGCAGTTTTGTCAGAGAGAGCAGCAGCATAGCATTGGTGCACTCCCTGAGTTTGTCTCTTATTTGCTGTTCTGCCTAAGGTCAAGCAAACGTTGTGGTTCTTGGATAGTCAGTTGTGCACCTGTTCTAAATAGGTGAGGATTGTAGATCTTCATTAAAATACGTGAACAATGGAATTGCTAATAGAGAAATGGATCTACTCAGTTCTTGTCCCTTTAGATACTTTACATAATGGTTACAGTAACTGTGTGTGTAATAGAGGATTGATATGTGTGACTGTGTTCTTTTCTTTCCCCACTTCCCACAGCACAAAGACCCTGACTCATTTCAGTCTAACTTACTCAACTGTGCTACAGAGTCACTAATACTAACTCATATTTTCTGTTCTGTGTGTGCATATGTAGATATAGATACTGGTCCTCTAAAGAGTGGAAAGCTTTTATTGTTGTTCTTGTGTTTTGGAATTAATAATAGGAAATGTATCAGGCCTTATATCTGTCTTCCAGATGTTTTGATTGCAGCCTGCTCTTCGGCCATATGGCTGCCTCCTTCTCCTTGCTGGTTTTCTTTTGTGTCCTTCAAGGCAGTTTACTCACAGTGCAGAAGTATTCTGTACCTGACTTTTGTATTTCCCAGTGTCAGTGGTCTACACATGTGTTAGGTTTAGGGTATCCTTCCAAAATTTGATTTTTGTGTTGTGCAGGAGTGATGGGTTGAGTTGTAAAGACTGTGGATCTGTAGGCTGTGGCTTTTTCAAATTACTGTGTGGGAGAAGAAGCCAGTACTGTGTGGGAAGGCCAAGAACTTCTGCTTTCCAGCACACTTGTATCCAGATTCAAAGCCTCTAGAACATGATTAAGAGCTTGGTAGTTTCTGGGTTATTAAATAAATATTTGTCACTGTGTGAAGAATTTGATTTCATTTCCTCAAAATGGGACTGAGTGCAATAGCTGAAAAAAAAGTAAAATGTTGAGGAACACTGTCAGTACAATTATTTCTGATTTTATTCACAACTGTTTGCAAAAATAATGTAGTAGGATCTGGAAGATTAATGTAAAAAGGCGGTTGATTTTTTGTTTTACAGAAAAAGATTTAATGAGTGTTTGTCTCAAATGACCTGAGATTTGTAGTTCTGCTTGGGTGGCATCCCAAATTTGGTGGCAGTTAAGAGGAATATGTGAGTTTTAGAGAACTTGGAATACATGACAATAAAAAGAAATAAGTGCTTGTTCTTAAGTAGAAATGAGTTTTAACTCAGCTGTAGTTGAAGTGTTTATTATCTATTTTCATGAATTTCACCACTAGCTATAAAATAAAATTACCCAAAAAAATGCCCTGTGGAATTGATGCAGTCTTCAGGCTCTGGAGCAGGTGGATAAAAGCATGTGGTGTTGTGTGACAGCTTGTGATGGTTGTCATGTTCCTGAGGACTACAATGAGCCTCATTTTCTGACCATCATGTAAAACCTAGTGTTCAGTTCTAATATGCCTTCAACTGGTTGACTATGGTTGCCAGGAATTTGCTGTGGTCAGATATGCAACTGACATTTTAAGAAACAATTTATTTATTAGATCTATTAAATCACCTGAGAAGGTGATTTTCTAATAAATTTCTAAAAATGTATGGTCACAGTAAAGAAGAATGGGGGAAGTATGATACCATCCCTTCTCTTTTAAATACTATGATTTGCATGTTCTTCTTTTATTTTTTCCTTATTCCAACCCATTCTGTCCTAGTTAATGCTAAACTGTCACAGTCATTTGTTTTCTCATCTCTTCTCCTGGTAATGTATTTCACCTAGTAATGAGTCCTATATTATTATGCTTTTAATTCCTAGCTCTTCACTGTACATTTTGTCTTTCTCCTTATTTTTTAAAGTTTATTTCCATAATTTATTTTCAAATGTTTCCTTGCACTGAGTTTTGTAATGCCTGTTTTTTTAAATCACCTAACGTTTAGGAGGGATGAATGAGGATCTTGGTTGTAGTTATCTCTTCTGCCCTAATCCAAGCTCAGCAGAGTCCAAATCAGAGATTGTGGGGCAAGTCCTTGTCTCCAGCAAGGAACATGTCCAAGTTGCATAACATTTTTAAGGGATTGAGACTATTGCTGGTTACTGGCTAGATGTCTCATAATTCCTTTTCCTTTCCAGAGGCTTGGAATTTATTCAGATGGATGTGGATGTCCCTGATCCCCTTCCTCTCTATCTTGTCTGTTTGGCAGGACCATTGCACCTGTAATTTAGTAGTGGATGTTTTTCAGTATAGCTACAGCAGGAAGGCAGAGTAAACATTTGCTCAGAGATGGAGCTGCTGGTGCAAGCCAGGAGCATGTACAGAGAATGCATTCCTTTGATCATGTGCATTTATCAGTTTTCTCACTTTTTTTGAAAAATGGTGGTAATACATGCTGCTTAGAAGGCCTGCTTCAGTGAAAACTTGCTCATTAGTAGTGCTACATGGAAAACAGGCTTGTGACTTTTCATGAAGCAAAAGGCACTGGTATGTTTCAAACATTTACAGAGATTTTCATTTGCATTTTCCATTTGCATTTGAAAATTTAAATATAAAAAGTGTTTAAATTAACGTATGGGAAATAGTAAGAAATTGTGAGCTTTTTCAGACATTTGCAGGTGTAATTCACAGAAGTTTAGGTCTCAGGCACATATTTCCTCAACAACGAGATGCTGCCTTTAACAATAAAAACATGGTTTTTATAATTAAAAGAAAAAGCGTTAATGCAGGGTTAGAAGGGTCTTTGAATGCTGATACTATAAAATAAATTATCTCTTCCACTAATGGACCAGTGTGTCTGCAATACAAAATTGCTTCCACTGGGTGGCATTGCAAAACAAGGCATGACATACAAGCATATAATATTTGATAGCACAGAATGTGCTGGTATAATTAGTTTGCATATTTTGCAATTTTGTGAAGTTGCTTTGGTGTATTCAGGGAAACATATAAAAATAGAGGGGCTGTTTCAGGGTTGTTCCTCATCCTTTTTTTCTCTATGTTTCTTTTTTCCCCCCCAGTTCTGCTTCATAGTGTTTGGTGGCAGATGTAAGACCTCTCTATTCATTTAAAGTATAAGTTTCTTGATTGAGTGTTCTTTATTCAGAGCAGATGTTGGTTTTTTTTTTGCATTGCAGACTAGCAATTATAATAATATCTAGCTAGAGATCTTATAGTAACAGGTTAGGGATGTGTTACTTCTGTTGATTCTTATGAATTACTTTGTATTTAATGCTTTTGCTTTTAAGTAAAGCATTGCGAGTGCAAATCTTTTCTTTAATTATGTTTAAACGATTTTGAGTCAAATTATTTAAATTATTTCTTTTAAAGCATAGAACTAGTAGAGATAAATACAATTCTAGAAAAGTAGCATAGTTTTCTTTATACTGGTCCAAAATATCCTATGCAACTAGGTTT